GGGGGGGGGTGTCGGATCAGGTCGACATTCAAGACAATGACCAGAAGCGGTTTTGAAGGGTTTGATAAGCTACATTTTTAATCAGTCCTTTCCCGAAATTATTAAGCATACTTTTGCCCTATGCGGAATAACAGGTGAATCACTGGACTGGTGGGCAACTTAAAGAGCATAACACTACATGGGTAAATAAGTGGTGAAACAGAACCACTTTCTAAAGCCGTTGGGTAAAAAGAGACAAGTCTACCTATAACAGAGCCTGAAATTTGACCCCTGATGGTGCGCTTCCGGAACACTTGAATAGGATAAATAACGAGCAAAGGTGTTACAATTAGCTGTTTCGGCAACTGCCGAGACATGTATTGCTTTTCTCCTTTTTTTAGCTGTTTGGCAACAGCCAGAACAGCTCTTGCTTTTCTGATTATTTTTTTTTCATGTACATTTGGGCTTTTTCGCATGTTGCAAAAAGGCATTCTTTTTTTTCTCTTTTCTTTTTTTTTTGGGGGGGGGCTTTTTCACAAGGTGCAAAAAGGCATTCTTTTTGTTATTTGTTTTTTGGGGTTTTTTTGGTTTGTTTGTTTGTTTGTTTGTTTAAGCTGTTTCTGCAACAGCCGGAACAGCTATTGCTTTTCTGATTATTTTTTTAGCTGTTTGGTAATAGCCGGAACAGCTCTTGCTTTCCTGATTAGCTGTTTCAGCAACTCCGCCAAAACAGGTATTGCTTTTCTGATTTTTTAACTGTTCCGGCTGTTGCTGGAACAGCTCTTGCTTTTCTGATTATTATGTTTTTAGCTGTTTCGGCAACAGCCAGAACAGCTTTGCTTGTCTGATTATTAGCTGTTTCGTCAACTCTGCCGAAACAGTCTTGTTTTTCTGATTAGCTGTTTCAGCAACTTTGCCGAAACAGGTATTGTTTTTCTGATTAATAGCTGTCTCGGCAGCAGACCTATTATTGATTTTTTAAGAATTAATTTTTCCCCATAGACTTTGTACACAGATTGCAGACAGTTTTCGGACTGTCCAATATCAGGCTATGAGGGCGCTATTGCAGAATTACGGTTACACCTGCGTGGGCTTTCAATTTTCAACAAACTGTCCTACATTCAAGTATGGATGGCGTTGTTTCATAACATAGGGTTTGTACACACATTGTCCAGCGTAATGCGTGAGCAGTCCTCAACTTCGACCGAGAATTACTACCAGAACGAAAAAGAAATCAGACTAAATTTTCCCTTCCGTTCGATCGCAAATATATCCAAGTGTGCAAATATTAAATAATATTTCGTAAGTTTTGTCCAGTTTAGACAAAAATCACGTGTCGTGAAATTAAAGGAGCATGTTTTCCTGCACACGTGTTTCTAGCCCATTGACTTTGTACACGTTTTCGAGCCACAATTTTGGTAACTTTGAAGTGTTTGATCGTTCCCAAAGTGATACCCAACAAAGACCCTGATGCAAGATTTATTGCGAAGGGATGACGTCATGATGACATCATCACCTTATTTTACATTCATTTTTGAATATTTAATTTGTCCCCATAGGTCTTGTACACGTTTTTTACTTAACACAAGTTAACAAGTAGTCTTTAACTTCGGCGCAAGATTACTATAAGAACTATAGAGAAATTGGGTACTTTACGCGCTGTTATTTTATTTTAAATATAACTAAGAGGCCGAATATGAAGTAATATTTCATAAAAATTGTTCAGTTTAAGCGCAAACCACGTGACATGAACTTAAAGGAGCAGTGACATTAAATAAATACAATTCTTGTAACTGATATCATATCCACTCGTGATGACGTCAACAGTCGAAGAAGCCGTATATGTTATCTTTAAGTAAGTATTATAATTTTTAAGCTATTGTGAGAATCTCCACAAAGTACAAAGCAAACTCTCAACAGTGAGAATAATATCTTGTGCCGAGTCATACTAGATTATATTCTTTAGTGGACATCCAATTGCATTGGTTGAAATTGATTTATAAATTTTTTCAGGGTATATGTCACGTCCAGAATATTAAAATGTTCATTTTTACTCTCTCATAGTTTCTGAATGCCAGGTTTTTTCATGACAATTGGCAATTCTTATTTAATTGGTGAAACAGTCCCGAAACAGCTCTGTGTTTGTACTTGTTTACAAACACTTCTATCTAGTTTTTTTAGTCCTTTTTCAGCTCAATTTCTTCCGGCAGTCGACTTTGCCCGTTTGCTAAATCTGATCGACTTCAAACCTGGCAGACCTTTGGACAATCATCCGAGAAATTCACAGTGATATCTGAATTAGTTCATTTATTTTTGATTTTTTAATAATTAATATTTCCCATAGATTTTGTACACAGATTGCACGCAGTTTTCGGACTGTCCTATATCATGTTATGAGGGCGCTATTGCAGAATTACGGTTACACGTACACCTACCTGGGGTTTCAATTTTAAAACAAACTCTCCAATATTGAACCATAGATGGCGTTGTTGCACAACCTAGGGTTATGCAAATTTTTCTGCTACGCAATATTATCGATCTTTACGAGAGTAGTCCTGAACTTCATCTGAGAATTACTATGAGAACGAAAGAAAAATCGTATTTTTTCGTCTTCGTTCGATTACATGTATACCCAAGAATCTGAATATCAAATAATATTTTAGAATTTTCTTTCAGTTTAAAACGCAAATCACATGACATCACAAAGGAGCAGCTTTTTGCATATGAGTTTTAAGTCCATCTACTTTGTACACATTTTCAAGCCACTATTTTGAAACCTTCCCGATATCTGATCGATATGAAAGTGACAGCCAACAAAGACCCTCTTGCAAGAATTATTGTAAATAAATGACGTCATGATGACATTGACTGATTTTCCAATAGTTATTTCAGCTCATTGACTTTGTGCACATTTTCAAGCTACCATTTAGGCGATTTTCAGAGGTTTGATCGATATCAAAGTTACACACAACAGAGACCAAACAGACAGTTCCGAAACAGCTCAGTAGTTGTCCACAACCACGCTCCTCTTGTTTTTAATACTTTTTCGTTCAGTTATTTCTTAAAAAATCAAACCCAGAAAAGCCTGGCTTTTGAAAACATTAGCTACTATATAAATTAATAGAAACTGAAGAATTACCTGACCTAAAAGAGAAATATCCTGTCAGAAACTGACCCATCACTTCCAAAAACCTAAAGAACAGTCTACTGCGGCGGTCTTGTACGTAGATAAACGTTATATAGGCCTTATTATTACGGTTTGGCTTTATGGTAGTCTGTCTGTAAAAGCCGCACAATAAAACAGATCAAACTAGTTTACACAATCCTGAATTCATAAGGTAATTATTCTTAAAGCAGTAATCTACTTTTGTGTGCAACATGCCCTGAGTTGGAAATTACTTGTCCCAAATTCGTCATTCTACCTCCATGGTTTATACATGTATAATCGTTTCTATGATCAGTCCCGACTATAGCGCACATGTAGCTTTCCACTGGGTCCACAAAATGTTGAGCTGGAGCGTAGTGCGTTTAGTCCAATGTTACTATAGGGGGCGCTGTAACTGACATTGTTGACCGCTGGCATCGGTGTGATGTTGCCCACGTGCGGGTGTGGTAGAGCTGGAGCAAGCAATCCAAAGGTAACTTCATTTTTGGTGTGCTAAATGAGGAGACATTTTCAGTTCTAACGCTCAGTATTTTTCAGGCTCTAATCTGAACGAGATTGTTCGAACCATCAAACTATTAAAGCTGAACATGTTTCAGTTGAATAGCACCATCGCTGGCCTGTACCCTACATAAGGCATGCCATGGATGTGGGATTTTTGAGAGATTTGTTCCGGTGCACGGCCCACGTGAGGACTTAGGGAAAACTCAGCTGAAATTGTGCAAATTTCTGGATGTTGTCATTAATTTCAGGCTATCAAATTTCATGACACCGAAATTGTTCACAGAGGTGATCGGTAGCATGTGTTTTTAGTTTGAAGGTTATAATGTCATTATTTAACAGAACAAATTTAAAGTTTTCAGCAAAGAGATTTTGGCAATGTTCCATGAGGATGAAAGTCAAGGAAAGGTTTTGAGTGGCACTTTAGAGGACACAACTGTAATTGGGCCAGTCTAGTGGACTGTAGGTACCTCCGTATCCTTTACCGTACTCCTAAACTGAAAACAAGCTCCCACATGGTCTGGCCACACTCAGTGTAGCATTAGCAGATCAGCAGCTACACGTAGAGACAAGTCAACTTACAAGTATTGTCCCTTATAATTGGAGTGAATCTTCTGCTTGAGTCCTGGTCTGCTAGAGTCAGTGATTGAAGCCTGAGTGTATTCTGGGTTCACTTTACACACTGTTGTTTTAGTTTTTAGTCTTTGGTCTTTTTAAGTGTTACTGTTAGGTTATGGGTTTTTAAGTTACTGCTCTAGGGTGGGTTGGTGTTTTGACGTGTTTTGTTTCAAAATCTAGAATCGGTGTCTGATGAGTACAGTACTTACTAAGTAAGTTACAGTAAGTTCCCTGCAATTTTTCCCTTGCATTCTTCATCAATTTTAGTTTGCAGTTCTCCCCCGTAGCATCGTACTTATTTTGTAAGCTCATCCTGTATGTGTACTTCTTCAGTGCATTGGCACACTTCAATGCTTGGCCCAACCGTTACACGCACCTGGAACCTTTGTAATGAACATATATACATCTCATTCAGGTAAGAGATTACTGGATGATTGATATGTGTAAGTATAGAGACATGTAATGCCAGCACTCCAATTTCACCACACCTGCTGTGGCCATGGTGGTCGGTGCCCTTACAACGTGGCGTGGTGCCCTAAAAAGTTCCACTTTGTCCCCGGCCCAAACTGGCCATGTGTCCCATTCTTCCTGGCAGTGGTGCCCCTTGTTTCTCATAAGTTGCTTACTTCGCATTCATGTTAATGTATTTTGTGTTGCGGTCTTACATTACACGATTGTCTTCATGCCACATGGGTGCACATATAGCCTAGCCAGCCAAGCTGGCCGACCCGGTACGATGCGCCGCAGCACCATACAGCGTGAAGAGGCTGGGTACGTATTGTAAGTCCAATGCCTCATAAGTCTGATGCCTAAAAAGTCTGAATTTTTGGACTTACAAAGCATTTGACTAATGAGGCATTGCATCTGTAGACTGATATAAACTAATAAAGCATTGTCGGACTTTTGAGGCGTCAGACTTAAGGACTTTTTAACAGATTTGTTGGACTTGTGAGGTGTCGGACTTAAAAGCTGACCCCACGAGGCTTGCCTGTATTGCAGTTGGCTTCAATTTACAATACATAATGTACGTGTATTCCATTCTGCAGCCCAACGTTCGTGGATGATTATTCGCTGGAGGTGCCAAGCACATACGGGCATATTGTGCAACAACTCGGCTGGCACATGCATACACGGGCTTAGGCCATGTCCGAAACGGGCCTCCACAGCGACAGCTAGGTCGTTTGTCCCTTTAGTTGCGGATTGTGTATGCACGCACGCAGCAAATTCAACTACATGTACATGTGTCTAACTGATTATTCTGTGACGTGATGGATTGGTCAACTTTACGCCACAAGGGGATGTTGTTGGTAAGCTCATGCTGTGCAGTCCAAAAAGATTTGTCAAATTGAAACAAAGCCTGTTCTCTTTGTTAAATGTATGTTAAATTCACTAGAATTCTTACATTAAGAAATTCTTTTTCAGAAAATATGCCAGTTCCATCCTGTAATATACAATGTTTTGTCATGGATTGTAAAATATTTAAATATGATAACTCATTATCAAGCACATAAAACACCATTTTTTTACAGTTTCATAACTTGTTTGCAGAAAATATTACATGTACACCTTGGCCTCAGTGCCTTTCCTTTGTAGATATTTGGCCTTTTGTCCATGTTATTAGCCGCCGTGCCCCTCAACGTGTCCTACCAGTATTCCGTGAGGCCAAAATGGCAGTGCCCCCCAAAAGTCAAAATTCAAGCCTTGCAATGCTCATGCACATATATACTTCATACCTGCTAACCCTTCTACTTTAATCAGAACTGTCCTGATTTTTATATTCTTAGACGGCACAAAATTGTAATGTTTCCATGTCGCAAGCCCCTAGCAAAACAAGCAGCCATGCTAGAGAATCTTTTTACAAACATACATACATGGGAATGCGCACAGGCACCATGTTTTCCTATTCAAAATGTGTAAAATGCCATAGCCATGCCCTACTCATTAACCCCTGACGTTTCTCCCAGGGGCAATATTTTTCTTTTTTTTTTTTAGCTTCTCTTAAGCGTTTTATTTTGTCACAATGTGAAAGTTGCCCTCTATTAAAGATCTCGAGAATGGTAGCGGCCATGTTGTTTTGATGGGGATTTAAAAAGGTGCTTTTTGCTGCTTTTTCTGTACATTAAGATTAAATGGAGGCAAAACACAACAGGAAACAAAATAAATTGTACTCTGTACTTTTGAATTCCAGGTTTTTATTGAAACAAGCAGAAAAAACAAGCACAGTGGAGTAAACTTTTACCAGTAAGTGAACCATCATACACTATGGAAAATGTCGAGTCATTCATCCTAGTTTCTGCTTGCTCTCATTTTGGTTTCTTCCTGGCTAGTTATTTGTATAGTTATTGAGATGGAAAACAAATACAAAACTTTGAGATAAAATAAGTAAATCCCAATTTTCTGCTTGTGAAAATTTAATTTTGATTGCTGATTAAGTCAAGGATATGGAGGACGTGCAGCGTGTCTCGGGTGAAAAGTTACAACGAACACAGCGCACAATGACTGAACTAATATTTGTCTGCAGACTAATAAAGTGGACAATTTCCGTGGTTGCCTTGCCAAAAAGCCTAAATCATCCTTGTTGGATAAATTTATTCTGCCCAATTACTAGGTGACATATATATAGGGAGCCATAACATAGCTCAGATGGTCCTCAAAATCCTCTGATTTCAATATGATTTCACATGCACCCTTGAAGGCTACGGTTAATACTGTTTATAATTTGGGAATGTTTTCTGCACAGACTGTGATCTTCTGTGTGGCAGAGCAAGAAATGTTTATGTTATTAAGTACACATTTTTACATAGAAGTAGTTCCCCTTTAAAAATGTTTAACTTTAGTTTAGAGTTCTTGATTTTTTCTAGTAGTGTGCCCCCTGTTTATTTGTTTAAGCCCTAGCTTCCCCCATATAGAGTTACCAAATGGTCTGGTCACACTCAGTGTAGCAGAGACCAGTCACCTTCACATGTACCTATGTATTGTTCCTCCTAACTGGAGTGTGGTTTTTCTGCTTGAGCCCTATTCTGCTAGAAGTCAGTGATTGAAGTCTGAGTGTAAACTCATACTGTCCATTTTACGCACTGTGTTGGGTTTGGGTTTTGAGTCTTTTAAAGTCTTAGTCTTTGGGTGTTTTTTAGTCCTTGAGTCCTTTTAGTTTTTTTGCGTTTTTCCTGTACTTTTTCATTAATAAATTATTTTTTTGTCCCTTTTTTTGAAGTCAAATATTGGTGTCTGAGTCCTTATTGATTCAGTTTCCTGCGACTTTTCCTTCAAAGATCCTTGGTTTAGTTAGAGTTTTTGTTGTTTTGCGGTTTCCCCCCAGAGTTGTCTTCTTCTAGTGTTCCATTTTTCCCTGTTACACCTGTATTGACCTTTAGTTGGACCGAGAGAAAACACAATTTCCTTGGCATGACAGGCTCCTTTGGTACTAACTATGCATCACTGGTTCATGAACGACTAGGATGTGCCCCATCGCTACCAACAAAATGAATACTCCCAACCAACACGGCTCTTCTCAACCAATTAGGCTGTGCTTCTACTCAAAGTAGATAGCATTTGGGGATGGCAGCTGAAACCTTAACTGGAAGAGATTGACTGGCTGAAAAAATAGGTGGGATTGTTTAATTATAGCCCTAGGCCAACACTTCTTGTATTGTGGGATTCCATCTGAATGCAGATGGCTGAAAATAGGTCTTAAGAATGCCAAAAATGCTTAAAGGCTTGAGAAAAATGACTTTTTGGAAATGTGAATGTATTTTAAGGTGTTTTGAAGAATGAATGTACTTAGCTAACCAAGCAACAATAAAAAGAAACGGAAAATGACAATAAAGAAGGTGATGAGATTTTTATGAAATGTTTATGAGAAATTCCAATAATGTGAGCTTGTATATTATTTGGCCCTGATCTTTTGTTGATTTGATACTGTTTTCAATGATGCTTCAATTGCTGTTGTAAAGTGCACCTTATAATTTGAAACGGTGGCCCCCACAAATGTTAGTCATACGGGCTGAAATTCAAACATGGTTTGTTATTAATTTCCCTACTTTCAGCAGTGACAGAGAGACAAGAACAAGCTAGTCCCTGGACAAAGTTTTCTGAAGTGTGACAGATCAGACATATCATATCACTAGAGACAATACTGGACCAGTATGGCAACAGCTTACATCGTTTTCTGATATTAGTCTGTGGTACTGCCAATGGAATTTTCATCCAGTACGTGTACATTATACATTTGATATAAATTTATATACATGTAAAAATCTACAATGCAACACAGTATGACAAGATGATGGCTGGAATTGCAATAAATGATTGCAATCGATTACGCACGCAACAACATGCCATGTCCAATCCACTCAAAAATGGATCTCCCGAGGTATGGCTACACCTACAGTCAATTACCACGTCTCCACGCACATGCATATGTATTTCTATTGAAATGGAGTTGTAGACCTATCTCTAGCCAACAGATTTGGACGCAATTTGCTGCTGTCTGGTTAGTCTTAGATACAAGGTGATGATATCACCATTATTAGTAACTGGTTATATAGTAGGTTTATATAATACGCCTGGTACCCTGCTACTTTTGTCTTTTATCACCGCTGCAAGCGCCCGCCTTCCAAGTCTTAGAGTAAAAAACCACCTCATTCCATGATGTTTCACACGTTCATAATAATGTACAGGAAGGGTCAATCTGTCTGTATATGGAAACAAAGTTAATAAAGTTTACATTTTTGGAATGCTGGCATGGTGTGCATGCTACGTGTATTTCAGGCAAGTCAGAAAAATATTTTTTTCTGGATTTGAATATAATAAGTAAATTTTGATTTTCAATTTATTTCCTTGACCCATCCACCCACTATTTAAAAAAAAAAGTCAAATTCAAAAACACTGAAAATTTTGAGGGGCCCCTTAGGAAGACCAGTGTCCATCGCTGGAAAATCACCTGGCAAATCATTCATCCTTGCTCACTTTTTAATTCACTCATTGTTTTTTACTGCCTGGTCTTGTCACAAAAGGAATACTATCACCTCTTGGCTGACAAGATCTACAAGATCCAGAAGGAGCTGCAGCAGAAGCGACAGAAGAGGATGCAGGATTCAGGAGGTACTGATGCTGCCGCTGGAGGCATCCTCACGATGGCTGCAGCGCAGCTGCCCCAGCCACAGCCTCCCCACTAACTGCCCAGACCAGTATGTCCACTGGGAAAATGTAGCTCTTTCAACCAACTTATATCAGAATTATGCTGTACATAACGAAATGTTTATGGTCTTGAAGGGTTATTTTGGTGTCAGTGTTGCTTTGGCTCAGCAATGAAAAGTGGACTGGTAGAATGGGGCGTCAGGTTGGCATAGTGACACTTTTGTCACCTTACACTTCTGTGAATCCAGCCGAGGTTATCATGTGGATTTTGCAGTCTTTACTTAACTTTGTGGGTTTTTCTCTATAATGGTCATGTGGAGTTTTTCCTTCCACTTCTAAAACTGAACTTTATCCTCATATATTTGCAGTTGTAATTTGAAGTTGTAGATCGTCACATTTCTCAAGTTACTGGCAGCCCATTGAAAAACATCCTGGAGATTATGTTGCTACCATCAATGAATAAAGCTGAAATTGTTATTGTTGTTGGAATTACACAGGGGAAATGGTATTGTTTATGGTAGCAGGGCCAGGTTTCCTTCTTTTTTTAACGTTGGTCGCTTATTGCTTTTGTTTTGCTGGGGATTATTGGAGGTGCTGCTGTGCACTCCAGCTTGCCCATTGCAGGAGTGATGTGTAGGGCTAGAAAGTTTGGAGTATTAATACAAATTGCAGTGACCCATAGTCATAAGTACCTTCCCTTTCTAAATGT